ATACTCCATGTACAGGTAAACTAGCGATCACATGCACTTTAGCACTCACATTTGTCTTCAGAGGCTTAAAAAAAATAATTTTCTCATCAGCACTAGGACCTTTTTCTGTAATTTCCCCACAACTCTAGCAATAATGGTAGTATTGTGACATCTCAAATTTGCTTCAAGGTGATCATCAGCCGTTATTTTAACAACTGCCATTGGAAAGAGGTTAGATGGCTTCTGTCTGAAATGTTAATAACTGCCTGGAGTCTTATCTGCTTTTGCCTTGCTTCCTCCTTCCATTTGAATAACTTGGGGTAAGGAATAACTGCGAATTTTAACAGAAAAGTCTGCACTGTAAATACAAGCTTTGTCATTTATTTTGCATTCTTACATCAGGTGTGGAGCTGCTGCTGGAAACAGGAAATCTATTGCTTCCTAAAATTTCTGTATCTCTTTACTACACCACTACTAACAGTATTGTTATTTGTGGTAGTAGTAATAATATTGCAATGTGTTGTAGGGCATCCACTGAGCTTAGTGTTCTCTGAAGACTCAATGAGAAATAGCCATTCCCATTAAGATCTTATGGTCTTCATGGTATGGACTTACAAAGGGCAGGAAATATTTCTTACTTCCACTGTGATTCTAGCCTTCTAAGAAACATATACATTTTATAATACAAAAAGCATAATTACACTCTAATTGCACCCTAGTTACATTTTTAGCATAAGATTTCCACTAATATATATAACAGGGTACTTCGTGAACTGGCCAAAAATAATTACTCTGTTAAAAACCAAAATTGATATACCTGCATTTAAAAACATACAATCAGATCCTCAGCTGAGTTAAATCATTATCTCTCTGATGATATCAGTCTGGTTTCTGTGCGTTAAAAAGCAAATCATGGGAGCAATAATATCTCAATTATGCAGTTAACCTTCTGGTTATATTAATTAGTGATGATTAGACACAGGAAACCATAATTATGTCATGTACCTTTGAAATCATGTTGCAAACCAAACACAAAAAGGCAGATGTGAACATCTAACCAGGTCCATTTCTGATGTCTAGAACAAATCTGAAACTTCATGATTTGACCCTCTGTCTCCTATCTGAAACATGCCCATTGGTGACAGCTCTGCTGGTGTCAAACTTGCAGAAGAAACTACAGTTTGTATTTGATAAATGCAATGTAGAACTATCCCATATTCTGATTTCATATGAAGGTTACTAAAACCCGACTTAAAGGAAAAAAAAAAAAAAAGACAAACCAGACATCTAAATGCGGTTCAGTTCCCAAAGGAGGAGTCCTGAAACTTAAGAAACATTTTTTCTCTAACTCACCACATCTAGCCATTTGTCTGGGGTATGAACAGCTAAAAATCAGCAGCTCCTGCTCCTGTTTGCAGGAGATTCTGACAGCCAGAGCATTGTTTGCACTGGACCTTTCTGAAGAGTTGCTCCTCACTGACTGCAAAGCCACAGTGGTAGACACTGCACTGGGGATACTGGTTTTCCTGAGGCAGCTGTTTGACAAGACTATGGTATGGGCAAGAGGGAGTCAGAGCAAGCAGGATTTTACACCCCTGTCCTGTCCTCATGCCTAACTTAAGACTGAAGTTTCTCACCTTCAAGGGTAAAGAAGAGAGAAGCCCATCTGAGATAACACTCTTCCCCCAGTGTATCAGAGATATGCTCTATCCCAGCAGACTATTGCCTTGCAGAGGACTGCAGTAAATAATTAATGTATAGGTCATTCAGTCCAAATTTAGAAAAATATTAAACATTTCACTTTTATGTAGGTTTCTATCACCTACTGAAACCCACAGAAACTCTGCGCTGCAATAGGAATTACGGACCTAAACATTTGTACAAATCCAGGGTTGTTCCTGTCATTCAGATGGCAGCATCCTGTCATCTCTGCAGGAAAAAGGACAAGTGCAGAAGAACATCACTGAATTTCCATTAAAATTAATCCATTGAAAAGTGAATATAAGAAGAAATTGTACATTTTTGACTAAACAAATATATTTTAAACAGACATTTTGCAAATGTCATGTTGAAGTGTTCCAAAGTTAGGAGTTGCCAGAATTAAGGTATTTTGTGTAGCGTTGCACTTGCAGACACTTTGTGGCTGTTGTTGCCTGTTTTTACTTTCCTTTTTTTATCTAAGCAACTCAACTTTGAAAGGATGACTTGCAAATCTGGCATTTGTTATTCTGGAAAACCCTGCTTTGCACACTTTCTCATCTATATTTGGTCAATTATTATTTGATGAATTGTTTAATTTCTGCTGTGCTAGCAGCAAGGGACACTGGTACAACATGGGACGCAGTCATGTATTGACCCACAGAATTAACAGTCTTGGGGTCTTCAACGAATCTACTTTAAGGTGTCAGGTCAGCTCACAGCCAACCAAGTTAAATAGAAAACCTTTCCCTGTGAGGACCCCAGGTCTGTGAGGCCCTGGGCATACCATGGGCAGAGAAAGGTCTTATTAGCTGGCACTGTCATTTAAGGGACTAAAGGCACATGGTGTTTTGCAGGATGTAACCCAGTATGACGTTGGTTAAACACACTTCCTATTTTTTAGTTCACCAAACTGTAAAACTCTTGCCTAATATTTACAAGCAGCATCTCCCAGGCATTGCAAGCTGTTCTCTAATGGTATTTCCAATTCAGTCCGAGGTTCCTGAATGAAATTTCTGTAGAAGGGTTACTTAAACACTTTCTTTTTCAACCTGAAGTTTGTTCAATATAATGTTATAAAAGCAATCCTTGAGAAACCTCTCACTTCAAGAGAGGGTTTTTTTCCCTTTCTTTTGCTCTTGGCAGTGACTGTGACAAGAATGACAGCGCAAAATGGAACAGAAAGTTATAAACATTACTTTTCCTCAGACAGCAAACAAACTCCCATATTACCACTATCCTAGATGGGAAACTGAGCCACTTTGCTTTCAGAAACTCCCACCCTTGTCCCATACTGGGGCTGCAGATATGCAGCATGATTGAGTGCAATGCTATTGCCATTTCAATTGATGCTCCTAACCTGTATGGATGCTGATGCTTTTGAGGTCAGCCTAAAGATGAGCTTCACCTACAGGCACCATTTGGGGCTTTTTGAGAGTGACAAATTTGGGGCCTGTCAAGAAAAGAATATGGGCCACCCATATCAACAGCCGTCTAAAAGGGACACCAGCAGAGGAATAAACAATTGAAGGAAGGTGCTTTTCATCAATTCAGTGGTTTTTTGCCTTTACTTCAAGTTGCTGCACAAGCAACGCAGTGCCCTACTCTTTAATATGTGCTTCCTGACATCCCACAAAAATAACAAATATGAGCCTCCTCTTCCCTTCTGTCATCCTTTCCTCCATTCTGCCATGCAGATGTCTTTTTCCTAAGTCCACACACTTGCTTAGGTTGGGATTCATCCCTGTCACAGCCTGGCACGTTCTCTGCTCGTCCTGCTGTCGTTCTTCCCTTTCCCTTCTCAGCACTTTCCTTCCATCAAGTACTTTTACTGAGGTCTGAGTCTGAAGAGCTGGCATGGGGCAAACCATGCCAGGGGATGATCGAATTAGAGGTTTTGGCACAGCTTTGTTTATTAGTATTAATAAGACTGAACCAATCATGCAATTCTTTGGGGTCTTTGGCCTCACTCCTCCCTTCCTCTTCTGGAATCTCAATCACCCACTCCATCCCACTCCTTCCCATCTTGGCCAGCAGCTCCAGAGATGCTGGGTGCAGGAGTGATGAGGCCACGGTTCAGTCTCCTTGGTTCGTAACACAGAAGCCTTATCAGGGGACAAACAAAATAGGAGGCAGGAGTCTGCGGGATGCATATACCTATAGGACTTTGCTTGAGGGGAAGAGCAAGAAAACGTAGGATTTTGAGGGGTTAAGGGTTTTTTAAAAAATATAAGATCCTTCTCCAAACCTTGACTCTAGCTTCTGACTTTGCATATTTAGTTATCGCTCAGCATAGTGTAAGACTTGGGCTTGAGTACTAGAATCATGAACAGAATTTAAGATATTAACTGTAAAGATGCAGTGTTCTGTCCACAGGTAATATTTCCTGCTATCAAAAAGCCAGCACGAATCATTTTGGGTCTGGGCTGCAACTGCTGAGATTTTGCACAGAGTCATCGCTGGCGTTCAGGCTCGTGATATGGCGAAACTTGGATAAAGTTGGATGTGAACAATGCTGCCTCAGCAAGCCATTTCAGGCATGTTTCCCTCTCCCTTTCCAACGTACCTTTCCAGCAAACTCATTAACCACACAGATGCACTAAAATGCTTGGAACAGAAATGAGAACAGAAGGAACGAAGACGATTCTTCTGCTAAAAGAGCTAGGTTTGATGTTTGCTCTTCGTCTGCACCTTCCCCTGTCCGGGTGCAACACAAAGGAAATCTCTGTAGCCAATCTGAGACTTCACAAACTGAGGGATTATGCGCTACGGATACTGACAGGCCCCTTCGCTCACAGCCTGGCAAACACCACAACAGTAATCTCCTCTCTCAGATAAAGTCCATCAATCTTATTCTTACACTAACCTGTTCCCCTCCGCCCCTCAGGAAAAGCTGGAAGAGCAGCCCTCTCTGGGAAGGATGTGAAAATCTCTCCTTTCTCAGTGCCCTCCTGCCTTAACTTACTCTTTGGGCTGGCCTCCCGTCAACGTCAGCTCAACACATATCCATTTTTTGTGCTGAGCTGACTGGTTTTCAATAACAATTTCTCCTTCATTTTGTCACAGAGATCAATAAAACTGCCCCTTTCTCATATTGGCTGAGACTCCAGCAACGTCATTTGCTCTTTATTGTTGCTACTGCTTTCTTTTGTTTCCCTTTTTCTTTTTTTTTTTCTTTTTGGCAAGGCACAGATCAATTTAACAAGATGAAAATGACTTAGACTTTCAGTCAAGGTAAAATCTGCACTTTATAACCCAGGCTGCAATTTACAATCCTGTCATTAAGCTCTGTTAATCCTATTATTATGAAGATAAATAATTACCCATAGCGAAGAAAGGGATTCCCAACAGAGTAGAATTATATTTTCCATCAGTAATGAAAAATATCCCTGCCGCAGTGACACTGGAAATACAGATAGTGAGTACTCCCAAGAGTCCCAGGAAAGGTTTGCTACGCAGGCAGTCCTTCATGGAGCTCGAGAGGGTAGCAGTCAGGAGAATCAGCATCAGGCTCACCAAAATCTTGCCCCTGGCCAAGAGACTGGTCTGGTGGAAGTCCTTCCAGAGGCTGAAGGACGCTAGTGAGTAGAGCTGCAGATCTTGGTGATCAAGCTGCATCTTGTGCATTAGTTTACAGAATTCACTCTCCCACTTCTCCCCAATGAGGTCCTGGGTGACAGAGCCATACGTTTGGAGGTAGTAAGTGATTTGGATGGCTCTGGCTGATTTGACTCTCTGGTCCTTGCTGTTTGGCACTTCCATGACCCCTCCGAGCTGGTGGCCAATAAAACTGCTCCTTCCATCCTGGGAGGGAAAGTAAAAAAGATGAGCATGTGGTTATCCTGAGTAAGATGTGATACAGCGATACCGTTTGAATCTACCTTCCTTTCACGGACATGCCAAGAGCTCGACTCAAAGGCCATTGCAGTCAACAGCAGTTGTGTCATTGACTTCAGTGGGCTTTGGGACGCATCCTTTTCCCCTGTCGCAACTCTGTTCCTTACTCATTATAGACTCATTTGCAATTCTGTGCTGCAGTTCAGGGACTGCCCAGATACTAGTTATGGTCCCAGATGTTCTGGGACTGAAAAATAGCATGCAAGCTCCTCACCCCATGGGAGAGGATTGCTTTCCCACATTTTAACTGTGACAGACAACAACAAATCTCCAGTTACTGAAGTATGAAATGTTTGAGATGAAGATCAATTTTCAGAAGATTCGTGATTTCCTGTCATTTTGGAAATGCTTTTAAAAAGTTGGAAATACGCAGAAAATGAGGGATGTTCCTCACTACACAGATGTAAATGTAGACAGATCCAGTTTAATAGCTACTTTGTCTCTAGAACAACATAACTAAAATCAGATTTTTTGAATTGTTTATTTGAAGTTTCATGCATTTCTATCAATGGCACAGAGATAAGAATCTACCTTACATCTCGATTTAGCTAGGATTTGTTTTTTTTATATTTCAAGAATACAAACCTTACTCTGTTCTCACTGATTTTGATATACGCTAGGACATAAAAACTCTATGACAATCAGTAAAGGACACATTAGGTATGCTCAGGATCAGCCCCCATCTATTTACAAGACCATACTATTTTTTTCTAGAGTTATCTGGTCCTATTTGCATGTTTCTTTTTTTCTTTTTTTTTTTTTGTAAGAAAGGTTTTGTAAGAAAGGTCCTTGCTTTTTAGCCACTGGTTATTCTAGTTCTCTAGAATAACTGTTATGTGCCCTTTTCAAGACAGGGGAAGCTTGCACGGATTTAGATCAAACCTCGTTGCAAACTGAGGAAGAAGACTCAGTAGATTGGATAAAAATATCCTATCACAAGTAATCTCTTTGATCAAAAACTCTAAACCCAGGGATTAAATGTCTGTTGCGCAACAAAAAACATTTTGCTTTTTTTTTGAGTAAACAGGATTAAAAGTTTTCCAGTTTCTTTCCTCTTGTAGTCAACAAAAACATAAAATTATCAAGCCAGTTAATATATAAAACATCTTGCAGCAGTAAGTTCACATGAGATAATACTCTTTGCCTAGATGCGCTATGGGAATGAGCTGACTGACAGCCTGAATTTGGGAGATGCTCTGCCCTACATACTCACATGGAAGCAGTCATCTGCAAAAAGGCCAGAACCATTTGGAGGAGACACTTTTAACATCTATTACATCCAACATTAACCATTTCTAGAAACACCTGTGCTGCACGCAGGTCATTATCTGAAATTACCAGACCTGCTCGCTGTAATGATTCCCATCCTAAGGAAAAATCAATGAAGCAAGGTACCAGGCTTTATGAAATGCAGATGTCTTCCGGCACGTCTGCTCAGAGAGCAAATAAATATCAGAAATTGAGAGACAGCACTGAAAATGTTTTACATACTCACCTTGCCTTGTCTCTGGTATGTAAAGGAGGTAATCCCCCCACCAAGAAATTTCTGCCTGCACCTGCTTTCAAGGCAGGAGCTTACACAGTTTTCAGCATTTGCCTGCCACAGCTCAGGGAACGTGACAAAGTGCTTTCCAGAAGTTCATTTTTTCCCTATTCCCAGTTGTTATTTCCCATTGAAATAATGGCTTCTGGCAAGGTATCCTGGCACGAGCTGACATGAAAGGTGATTTGCAGTCTAATGCCAGCTTCTCAAATCACCTGAAGCCTCATTGCAAATGTCATACAAGCAGAGACATCTAGCACAGAGGGGCATCTGGTGCTGTCTGGGCTCCAAAAAATACCCGTCTGTGGCATTTCATGATAGAACCCTATTTTGATTCATTATTTCTATTTATTTTTTTTCTGAGGAGGGGTCATACCTAACACTCACATACTCAAAAAAGGTACATTTCCAAGCCAGTAATTAAGGTTTGAGCAATGCAGTCCCTGCTCGCATCAGAACCAACTTTGCAGTTAAAAATTCCCTTTGGCACTGCTTTGAAATTTTAGGGACAAATGTCATATTTCCTCAGTATATATGCAGTGTTGACATTCAAACGTTTTCAGCCACTGCAGGATACTTTAGCAGCACAGCTCCAAACTCAGACAACGGACTGTAATTCAGGTTTCATTGATTCACTATGCAGCACACACGGCAAGGTTACAGGAAACTTTGCGATGACCATCTGCCTTCCTCTGCAAAAAGTGCACTGAACGACGGCAACATTTCAAAAGAGGCAACAGAGCAGGCACAAATAAATCCTGTTCTGCCGTATCTCCCGTGGAACGGAAGATAACGGCTATTTGTTACACTGATGTACAATAGGGCACCCAGCTCATATGTCAGCAAAATAGAGAGTGAGCTTTCAGATGGAATCGAGGAAATCACAGATTCTGAATTGCTTTGAGGTCGTTTTGTCCATTCCCTTCCTTCCAAAGGCAGATTGCTTCCTATTTATACAAGGGGTTTTGCCTTTGCTGCTTTTATAGCACGCAAACATGAACCTGCCACCGCGGCATTTGGGAAAATGTGTCCCTGTTCTAATACAGCTCCTGTGCTGGCTTTGCCAAATACTGCAAGTGAGATAAAGGTCCTGTTGTGCTAGGCAGGGCTGTCACAGCAATGGTTACAATCTCAGCAAGGAAGACAGAAGAAAGATGGGGAAAAATACTGCCTTTCATCTCATTTTACAGGTGGAGACTGAAGTGTGGGAAAATGAAGACCCAGTGCTGCCAATATGACTTTCAGGCATTTCCTAGAGGTCTCCAAACCAGGGGCTTGACTACCTCTTGATGTCTCATGGGTAGTTCAGGGCAGTTTTTCACCATCCCAAGTTCTCCGTTGTCCTCCAGGACCACCTTGGTGAAAGGAGACATGAACAGCTAAGCTCCTGGGCTAAGCCCAATGTTTGGAAAAAAAAATGAGGACACAGTGACTTGTATAACTGAGGGCTGAAGACCAGGCAGGTTATAAAGAAGATCCTTCATTCTGCCTAGTTCCTCAATGAAAAAAAGCACTTTCTGTTGTGCATTAACACGTCCTTCCTGGTATATGCCTACATGATGCTACTTTTAATTTCATAACAATAGTTTAATGTTTCAGACTACAGATCCCTTTCACATTTTACCTACATATGTTGGTACTCTCTGATGTTATACACAGAAAAGCAAACTCAAAAAATAGAATAATAATACTTATTGGTTGTACACCACTTTCCGGGCTGTGTCTACGTGTATTTCTCTTTTTTTTTTTTTTGTCTACTGGAAACTTCACAGTGTCTCTTCTCTCAGAGAACAAAAAGGGCCATTGTCCATTCTGATGGCAGCTAATTCTCTTCAGATCTGAGCATTTTTAAAAATGGTATGAAATATAGATCACTTGCTGGGACATGTGATATTTGATCTTAAGCAGAAGCCAAGCAAAAGTCTTTGCTTTGATGGATACTATTAATTTTGTGTGTGTACTCCCTTCTCTTTTTCTAGATGCCCCAAAGACATTTGGTAGATTCACACTCTGTAAGGGAGGAGGACGAAGAACTAAGGTCTCTCAGAGGAGTGAGAGATGACAGATATCAACAGTGTCATCCACCTTTTCCCCCAGGATGATGGATTTTGCCACCTGCTTTTATGCAGAACTGGCCTTGCACATTGTTGAAAATCCAAACTCCCAGTTCGTTCAGCAGTAAAAATCACTAATGGTGAATGGATGGACGCAGGATAACTACCATATTTCAGACTAGCAACTTGTCTATAAAGGATGCTTGGACCTTTAATATCCTAAAAAGATGTGTAAATGGCATGGGGATGTTTGGCTTGCTCCAGAGCTGAGTGTGGGATCTCTCAGGTTAAACAAAAACAGCCGCTCCTACTGAGGTAACTATCTTTTGCTGATGCTAATGTAGGTATAGATCCTCTCTGCATGCAGCCCAGAGGGATACCAGCAATACATCCTTACTGCTAAATCACTGTCCCAGTTTTAGCTGGGACTGGGTTAGCTCTTCTTTTTAGCAGCTAGAAGAGCTCCGTGTTTTGGTTTTACTCAGAGGCTCACTCTGAGAAGAATGCTGATAGCAAGTTGATGTTTGTGGTTGGAAGTGAAACTCCAAGGACTTTTCAATGTGCCAGAGTGCAGAAGCACGGCAGGATAAGGGGGGAGCATAGCTGGGACAAGGGGGACACGATTCCCCTTGTGATTTGTGGTGGAACTTAAGATTGAGGGCCAAACTGGCCAATTAGTATTCCATATCATGCAGCGTCATGCCCAGTATAAAAGTGAGGGTCAGCCGGACAGAAGGGCTTTTGCGCTTTGGCTCTTTTGCAGCTTTTGCTCTTTTGCGCTTGCCGCGCTTTTGCTCTATTGCTTTTCTTTCTTTTTCTCTCTCTCCCAGTACTCCCACTCTCGGAGTACTATCTCTCTCTCTCTGCCCCTCTCTATTTCGGGGCCTCGCGTTCGTCCGGGATTGCAGCTCTGGGACGAGACGGGCTTCACATACGAGGGGGTGGTGAGCATCTACCCTGTGTATTAAATCATCTGTATTAAATTGTTCTTATCTCAACCCACAGGTTTCCCGTTTATCCTTTAATTCTCTCCCTCATTCCTGGGGGTGGGGGAGGGGGCCGGCTGCGTGGGAGGGTCAGCCTAACCCACGACAATCATCTGGGAAATTTTTGGCTCCTTAATAGTCTCAATGCGGCTGCTGCAGCCCCGACTCCCATCCCCGGGGCTCTCCGTGGTCACTGACCACTGCCACACCAGCCCTGGGCAGATCACCTTCTCCTCCACGTTTTGAATGGCACCAGCCTCCATTGACTTCCCTCCCGTGTGAAAAACAAAAGTTTTAAGGTACTTTTGAGATGGGATGGCTCCT